CCAAGATGACAAGACTTAGACTGCTGTACTTTGGACACATCATGAGAACGCATGAATGATTGGAAAAGACAGTAATGTTAGGAAAGATGGAGGGAAGTAGAAAGAGAGGAAGGCCACATGCTGGATGGATGGACTTTATTAATGAGACCATGAATATGAGTTTGCAGGAGCTGGGCAGTACAGTAGAGGACCAGAGGGTCTGGAGAGATCTCATCCATAGGGTCACCATGGGTCGAGACCGATGCAAAGGCAGTTAACAACAACAAACAACAAAACTATTTTGAGTTCTTACTGTTTTCAAGGCAGTATGGTAAAAAAGATGGGAACAAATGTTTTAACATACACTTTCTGTTACAAGTACATGATTTTCCTTTTTTAATAGTTCTCATGTAAATATCCATGTGTGTACAAGCTATTTTCCAGAAAACAGATTTTCTTGCTGTATAAGAAGCTTTAAAATATTAACCACTATTGCATAGCTCTTGTGTATCTGCTTTCCCAGACAGCATTAAACATCTGCATTTTCAGTTGGCTGGTAGTACAAAAATGTCACATGTTAAACTGTATTGATGCTGGCTTTACATTTCTCTCAAAACAAGGATTTAATCATGAGTGTGATGTCATGTAAATAAATAGAGTTCCATTGAAATCATTTGATATTTGCTAGGGTTGCTTCACAAGTATGCATTTTTCATAATCTGGTGTGCGTGGCATGTTTAATTCATGACTGTTTTATTTGTGGATCCTGAGGACTAACATTTAATTTATGTTTAACTTAGTCTTTCTAATTTTTGTCCACTTCATACTCTGTTATAATGCTTCCATATGCGTTTGCAAGAATTTGAAAGTACTTTCACACTGAAGCAGCTGTCAATTACTTTCAGAAATCTCTCTTCATTACATATGTACAGATATGGATAGTATGGCTGTGTTGTATATGCAAGACTCCTTGGAATTTTTACAGTTTACCTGTTATATGTAAATGTAGCCATTCCTCATGAATGGGATTTGAATGAATTCTTTTTTTTTCCACAGAGCTTTGACTTACATTTGATAATGAAGTGGGACTATTTTATTAAAGGAGGCTAGTGCAAAATGGGTGTTGGACAGGCTTCTGGAATGCCTCATATGTTATGCCTATTCAGTTAAGTCACTTTCAGTAGAATCTGAAAGTGTAGTAACTGTGCAGACAAAATTATATGTGACGTGGGAATGGAGAAAAAATCCTTGGAAATCAATGATTTTTGTAAAAGTGCCTCCATGTGGAGAGCTGAATGTTGGTTTTCTGGGCATCACTTTTCTTCATTGTTTCTAACTCACATTACATTCAATGTCAAACGTAAAATAGATACATGTTTGTGTTACAGGTGAAGCATGCAACCAACCAGATTGTGATGAATTGTGCTGACATAGACATTATTACAGCTTCCTATGCACCAGAGGGAGATGAAGGTAAGAGAAAATCTTTATAAGTCTTTGTACGTTCAGTCATCACATACAAAATTAATCAGATAATAAATTTAGTTTGCAGTAAATGTTTCCTGGCTGCTTTGACCTAAAATATCCTGACATAATATTCTAGACTGCTGAGTATCTTGTACAAAGTTAACAATTACATGATCTTGATACAGCTTATTAGCGGTGTAGGGCAACTCAATAGCCATGTGTGGTAAATCAGTTTTTGCTGCCTCTCAGGGACTGCAGACATTCTGAATATTTAGTGGGCCAGCTGTCCTGCTCTCATGCTGTAGAAGAATGCAGAGTGCCAAAAGTACAGTAGCCCAATGAACAAGCAGTCTCCAATAACAAAACAGTCTGGGGTCAGGAGCCATAAATCAAAGCTGAGTAGTAGCAACAAGATACTAGGAGTCAAGAAATAGCCCAGGGTTGTATCTCACAGTAGATGCAGACTGAGAAAGAAACCACCTTTTCTTCCAGCAAACCAAACAGAGAAAGGCTCTTGACTTAATAAAGTTTCCTGGCTCAGCTGTACCCAAATTGCAGACTGTATTTCAAGAGGGCATTTCCCAATTGCTTGTGCACAGCTTCTCACTTTGCCTGCGGGGGAGGGACTGGTTTTGTTGCAAATGGTGAAGCCTTCACTTTTCCTGAGGGCTTAGAGCAGGGGTAGGCAACCTTTCTCCTTTAAGGGCGGAGGGACTTCAGCTCCCAGAATCCCAGGAGCTATTGGCCAACATGGGACTATTGGCCAACATGGCTGAGGCTTCTGGGAGCTGAAGTCCCTCGGCCCTTAAAGGGGAAAGGTTGCCTACCCCTGGTTTAGAGCTTTCTTTCTACCTCCTCTTTTAGAGAATTCAGGTGACTGTCAGACTAAGTTGGAGGAGGGCATGGCTGCAGTAGGTCTGTTTTGTCTTAGGAAGCTGAACTCTCAAGGGTGGGGTGGGGGGGGTCATAACATTTGTGTGCATTACTGGTAGGACATACTTGTTTCTATGTTTCATATGTCTGCAGACTTGCCTGAAATGAAAGTCCACTTGTCTTAACATGTCTTAGGGATTGCTTTCTGCTTAGTATCTAACAATTCTTTCCTGACCTAAAATTCAGTGCTGACCCATCTTTCCTCTGGACATTCCAGAGGATTTATTAGTTTATTTTAATTAGAGTTTTTATACCCCACCCTTCAGCCAAAAAAGGCT